TTTACTATGCCAAACTTCACTCCTCTGTTTCGCAATATGCTTAAAATGTACTCGTTGCTCTCTGCGGTGTGTTTGACCACAGACCATTGTGTTTGATACATACATGGTAGTCTATGGTTTGACATTGGCATTATGAACGTAAACACTTGTTATATAAATTTTAGCTTTCTGCACTACTTCTCCATAAAGTTTTAAATCGTTTAATGACACATTGGTTAATAGGTCTTTATTAACACAGAAATCCGTCAAGATCCCTTTTTTTCTGCAATCAGCCTTGTATCACTTTTTGTTGCAATTTAAAAAGGTACAATTATTGATAAATTTTCGCCTAGGACGTCCCTTTCCGACTCTGCCATTCACTTCTGCAACATAAATTTTCTTTGTCACTCTTTCCTCATCCATTCTTTCCACATGATCAATCCACCGAAGCATTCCTTTCTTAATCCTGGTCACAACATCATCTTGCAAACCACACTCTTCTCTTATCACACAATTCTTCACCCTGTCATTCAGATTCAGCCCTAACATACTCCTTAACGACCGCATTTCTACTGCATTTATTCTACTCTCGTGCTTCTTCTGCCACACCCAACTTTCACTACCATACGTTAAAGTAGGGACCAACACAGCATTGTGAATTGCCATACGTGCCTTTTTTGACACATTTTGACTCTTCACAATAGAGTGCAGGGCCCCATTTACTCTGTTTCCTGCGTTCACTCGTCGTTCTATATCCTTATCATATCTCCCATCCCTGCTAAATACGCAACCCAAATATACAAACTCATCTACTTGCTCGATCAACTTAGGGCCAAATTAGGAGTACCCTTAACCGACGAGCATGCATGCGTAGATGTATGGATGTGAAGGAGGCGAGAGAAGTGTGTCAGGATCGTGCCAAATGGAAGTCTGTAGTCTCTGCCTACCCCTCTGGGTGACAGGCGTGAGTGTTTATGTTTATGTATGTACAATTATTGACTAAGAAGCATCTATCTCTTTAACCTTAGGGCTGTCATCTGTACGTTACATTTTTTTTGAAGTTGGTAGTGGCAAGGTACCATTTTGTTCTGGGACTTATGGGTCCAATGTTTATGTGGGACTACATGACGTAAAAAGCGACTAATGGTGGGTAAAAGGTGACTAATGGGATATTGGGTTTGTGACCTATCACTCCTTTTGTTATTTCCAATAAATATATATATATACCCATATTTTTTGGCTGAACGTGGTCCGAGTTTCTGCACGCTGCACTTTGGTCGCTGTCTTCCTCCTACAGGACTTACAGGCGTGACATATATGTGTTTCCTCCAGGCTAATGGCAACTTAAGAGTGTAAGTTTTTGTACATCACAAACAGCAATAGTTCGTTTTTATTTTAATGTCTTTACTTGTTTTTTTTTTATACAATCTGTCATTTTTTTATTTTGTGCCGCTTCATATAATGCATATTTGAAATTCAACTTAAATATAACATCTGTATTATGCTATGCTATACGTTTCTTATACTTCTTACAAAAATTTTCTTAACAGACTACGTATCATTATTTTTGTATTATATATTAAAAAAGTTTTTGTTAATGATGGCTCTGTGGCGCAGTGGCTAAGCAACGAATGGCAGCGCTTGGAGCCGCGGGTTCATGTCCCGCACGGAACAAGTATTTGTATGGCCTACAAATAATTGTTCCAGGTCTGGATGTTTGTCTTTGTAAAATTTATGTATGTAAACTGCCCCACGATTCAGGAAAAATCCTAGTTCGGAGGTAACGTTTCATAACCAAAATAAATGATTTCTTATGTTTACGCGAACACTACACATTTAAATATAACTAGTTTTTACGGATTTTATCATGTCTATTAATATAAAATGATATAAAAATTCGTAAAAATAGGTTTTATTTAAACGCACTATTCATCGTTGAACTTTTAACTGGGGTTAGTCAGTCAGCATGAAACAAATCCGTCGGAAACCCTAATGAAATAACACCACCCATCTCCGTTCACACAATTCACTCAAAACACAAGCACAACGCAACACCGCCAATATAATGTATGTTCTCTTTATAGCTGATCCCGGGTAACGTTAAACGAGTAGAGATGGTACAGTTTTACTCAGTCAGTTTCGGTGACACAGTGTTCACGATACCTACACGGTACACTGAGCTAGTGCAGCGCGGCGCTGGTGCGCAGGGCATGGTGTGGTAAGGATGTTCGAAGCCGTTTTGAGCTGCTTCACGCTTTTTGTGTTCACCCATCCGCTTTGGTTTTTATATTTATTTCATTTGCTTTTTACTCTCAATTCAATCAGATGCAATCTCGAGTTTGGATTGACTTCACAATGTTAAAAATTGTGTTACATAATATGGCTTAAACTCATTTTCAACAGTGTGGAGATAAATTTTAAATTAGAGATTGCCTCTGAAATCTGACCTCAGTGTTTGAGCCCTATTCCAAACTGAAATCTAATTTCATATTGGGGATGTCTGTTTTTCTCTGTTTTATTAAATGACAAAAGAGTACTTACAATAAATGTGGTAACTTAATAAAAAAGAGTATTATAACTTTATACATTTACGTTTAACTCCATTCCTTTAACTCGAATGAAGTCATTTAGATTATCTACAACACAAATGCGTTCGCAGAATATAATGAATATAAGTATGTAATTTTATAAAAGAATACCAAATTAGATATAAATATAACAATAAACAGAGTTTTCGAAAAGTTCCATACTTCGGGAATTTTCAATTCTTTTATTTGTCATTTTTTAATTATTTAATTTAATTAATTATACATTTAATTTAATTACTTTAAACATTAGGGAAGAGAAAGAGATTATCATGTTTAATATACTTTTTTTTTTTAATTTATACTCCTAATTATAAATTTGTTTTTAACAAAAACAAACAACTTACCCCTTAAGTATATTAGTCATAAAGTTTAATTTCTAAAGTCTAGGTGGACTTTTGCTATTTAATCTTATCAGATATTTTCTTACTTCATATTTTTCTTCCTTTATTTACATTCTTTGGCTGTGGTATTTCAGGTCAAAACTTCGAGCGAAAAGCCGGGAATAAAGTTGGAGTACTTAAACTTTTAATTAGGTATTTTAGAACACTGGCAAAGTACAACTAAAATTTTTGCGATTTGGCTGAACACTGGCCTGTTTTTATAATTAGTATATTAAATGGAACTAAGTTAACGGATTTTATCAAGTATAATTTTAATTTTTTGAATTCACGACATTTGGTCCATCCATCGAAAGATGATTCACGAGGCTATTGAAATTAAAAAAAGACATCCTAATTTTAATAGAAAATATGGATGGATGCTTCCATCTGCTTAGGATCTTATAATGAATTAAATTAAATCCAAACCCAAGCATAAAACTGAGACTGCAAGATAGTGTAAGCTCGTTCTGCGTAGAACAAACCATGACATAGGGACGTCAACCCCCCCCCCCCCCCCTTACCCACTCGCCCGTGACCATAGGTACTGTAAAGCAAAAAAACAAATTACAGTTAAACGCGGTAAATTCCATAGTATATTAATAATTTAAAATAAATATTATTAAATGAGTACAAGTGTTAATACAAATCACAAATTCAGCTAGAGTTTCACCAAGCGACAACAATCATAAGTATACTGGATGACCTTCTTTACTGGAGAAAAATAGGGTGTAACGTGTGAACGGAGTAGAAGCCTATGGCACTGATATTTTACAAACATTTAAACAAAAAAATTAAATTAAATTAATTAATTAATTAAAATCAATCGAAATTCAAATCATATCACCGCAATATAAAACAATGAAAATAATTTTCCGCAGTATATTTGCATGTGCTCTTTCTTTCACTAATTTAAAATAACTATCCTGTTTTTTTTTAATATATCTCATCTTTAGAGCTCCATCTTTTAAAACTGTTACTATTGTTGATTTTGTCTTTTATTAAAAATACTCACTAGAATTTAAATAATCACGTAAATCAATATTTTTGAATTCAGTTAGGCAACAACTGCTCTAAATATTGTGGGTTCACTGGAAGAGAATGACTTTAGGTATTATTTCAATAAAGATTTCAAATAAATAAATAAATGATTAACAATTTGTTATGGATCGCTCATTTGTGGGTATGTTTTAGCGTTAATTCATTCCTTTTCGATTTCTACATTCTAATAATCATATTTAATATACTATTCGGTGTCTTCATTTCAAAACTAAGTGTATCTTTATCATAAGTTTGTAATAATCCTTATATTTACATGTTAGTTAGTAATTTAATTTTTTTATCCTCGTCTTAATAGTATAAGTATAATAAAAAGTATGATAATTCAGATAACTAGTCTAAAAAAGTAATTCTCAATGTTATAGCAATGTTCAACTTTAACTTCTTTAATAAATAATGCTAATCATTATTTGATTTGCCGAGTAGTAATACAAGTGACCAGTACACCATATCAACCCGTTGATATCGTAACTGACGATACCGTGATAAAACAGAGGATGGCCAGCATCATCTTCCTAAAAATAACTCTAAATTAAAAAAAAACTTCAGTTGCCATCCCGCCTGGCAATCGTGGCAACTATGGCAATAGTTTAATTGTTAATTTGAGGCAATCTGTGGATGAGACCTATGTTCAACTGCGGACTTTGATAGGTCGTAATGATGATCACACACTGTAATAATGATGACGATGTATGTAGGCTTAGTACGACAGTAATTACCTACTTTTCATGGATGCGTTCATTGAAAAAATATTAAATCCATTTTGACCTAACCTGTTGTAGAGAAGTTCAAAATTTTAAACATGGATAGTGCTCAAAAGTTAAGGTTATTTTCGAGAAAGCTCTATAATTATTATCTTAAAAATTTACAGTATAATTGATGTGACTAAAAAACTGAGTCAAAGAAGTGTGTGAAGTGAAATTAATTTTCGTAAGACTGAGATACCTCAACTTTTTAACATCTTCATCTCCTTTTAAACGTTATGTTTGTGTTGCAGTGCCGCGTACGACACGGTGACTCAGCAGAACGTCGCGATCAAGAAGCTGTCGCGGCCCTTCCAGAACGTAACACACGCGAAGCGAGCCTACAGGGAGTTTAAGCTAATGAAGCTCGTAAATCACAAAAATGTAAGTATAACCCGCCCGCAGAGATTTGCAGAAAGCTTTGTGATGAAGAGAAGAAACTTACACGACATATTTTAAAATTCATAGTGGAGCATGTCATTTTAATTTTATTGGAAGCCGTCTTAATTTTTTTTTTGCTCAAATGCCTTGGTTGGCCTAAATACTTGATTGTGAGTACACTGTTTTAAATATTTTAGAATATATTTAAATATTATTCTCTAAATTCCACGTTAGGAATGTATGACTTTTCATGGTAAAGTTCATATAACCTTTGTCTGCTTATATGGGTTCCTACTGTCCCAATTCATTGAATGTCTTGCGACTGTTCAAGAAGCATGTTTTAAAAGTAAAATTATTGAAATTAATTTCAAATAAGCTTAAATTACGATTTATACAAAAGTCAGTATTATTTGGTATGAAAGTGATGAAAGTTTTTTTTTCCCTATGTTACTTCTAAACTTCTCGTGTATTTACTGGAACAAACATAACTGTTATAAATCGGATCCGAAAGTTAATATGGGTATTTAAATTATTAAGGTCAGCAATGTCTAGTACTCTATTAAATAAAATTTACATAGCTTTAGCATAATTGAAAATTTCCTATTGCATCCCAATCTAGAGAGAAGCTACCAAGACAAACTTTTTAGATCCGACAAGAGCACAGAGATCTCTTATAAAGGTCATGTATTTCAAATCTTATAAATTTTCTTCCTACACCTTTTATCAGATTAGTAAACTTTTCTCATTTAGAAAGCTTTATGTTCTTAACATTATTCTAAAATGACATAAATCCCTACAGTTCAATAATTCCATTCAAAAAAAGAAAAGAACGGATATTGTGGCCCTAACACCTTTGCTAGTGCCTTTGCTAGTGGACAGAACTCTACCATATCAGTCTTCTTTTATATATAATAAATAAAATAAAATACCTTAAACCATTTGAATGGTCTAAGTAAAATACTTTCCTCTTATTACTTACTGGGAATATATTGTTAACAAAATTACCGAAATGAACGCAGTATTTATTATTATTTATATAAGGTATATGTTATAAGGTAATGAATTCGATTGTCCACAGTGATCAGAAATCAATTTTTGAATGATGTATTTATGCAACGGCTTAACATTTGTAAAAATATTAGAATAGAATAGAATATTTTTTTATTCAATATAGATTACAAGTAATTCTTATTGAAAGTCAATATTTTACGATACCACTTTATCGTCATTACAAAATTATCTACACATGTTGCACTAGATTCAACAAAACGCGTTATAGAAGTGTAAAAGTTTTATTATTGTTTCTTAAACGTTTGTACTTTGCATACGTAATATCCCTTTCGACACTTGCAGCTAACTTTATTTAAAAAAAAAAGACTACAGTTATGTTTTTACCCCTGAAGACCAGGATAGAATGCTCTACACGCTCTTTTGTACGTGGTAGAGCCACGCTGCAGCTATGTTATGGTTGTAGCACGAGTGGGTCGGCTCGACCAGGGCAGGCCCACGATCTCGCAGAATACCGGCGTAAAATAGCAGCTCAATGCTGCTGTGTTTCGTATGGTGAGTGCAGAGAACCGGAGACATGTTTTACTGAAATCGAGTCATTTAGTTCGAGTGCAACCATGCAGTAAGGTTAAATGTAGATGTCTATGGGCCACAGCATCTGCTTACCAACAGGTGGACTGTGTGCTCGTTTGTCAATCTTATCCTATAAAAAAACAGCCTATAATTATACTGAGTCTATACCCTTCATACAGTAACACAGCGGTGCAAGTACTCGTACTGTTATTCGGCCACAAAGTGTGGTTCCTACCTAGGAGTACTCCTAAATGATTACTAACACCTAGAGGAAAAGTTAAAAGAAAAAAAGAAAAGAACACTGATAAATAATGTTATGTGATACAGTTCGCCATTTTTTATTCGTGCAAAACAAAGCTAAATAAACTTACTAATTGATGACCAATTGAGCCTTTGAAAAAATCTTTAATACCCATCCAAAAAGATATTCGAAAACGATAGTTTTTATGTATATGCACAGTTTTTTATCTCTCCAGATAATCGGACTGCTAAACGCATTTACACCACAACGAAGCCTCGAGGAGTTCCAAGACGTGTACTTGGTGATGGAGCTGATGGACGCCAATCTCTGTCAAGTAATCCAGATGGATCTGGACCACGAGAGGATGAGCTACCTCCTGTATCAGATGCTGTGTGGAATCAAGCATTTGCATCTCGCCGGAATTATTCATCGGGTAAGCAAGAAAAATATAACTCATAATCAGTGTGTAGTGGGGTAGACAGAGACTTCACACTCCCATTTGGCACGATCGTGATACTCTCTCGCCTCCTTTACACCCATATACATATACCTGTGCATACATGCTCGTCGGTAAAGGGTAATCTTAATCTGGCCCAACTTCAATATATCGAAAATTTGGTCAATAAACTGTAATAAAAAAGGTCATCAAGTAAATATCTGGATGTGGGCCACTCCGATTTGAGGACGTATTGGCTATAGTAGTCACGTACCCATCGTCGCGGGGGGACTGTGGTGTTCGACGTCCCAATGATATAGTTAACTACGGCAACCTTCAGTTTAAAATTATAATTTTTTAGTCCCCCGTCATCACACGATGCATACACCTGATGGTGGACTGTGGTGTGCTCGTGAAGTGGATGCTGTGGCCCGTAGACACCTACTCAATCCTCAATTTAATATAAAATGTAACATTAACCCATTCGTGCTGCATACATTATATAGCTGCAGCTGGGCTCTACAACGTACGATACAGTTTTGCTTCTTACAACTTTCACAAGAATCTTTAACTGTCTGAAACATTTGATATTGTGGCTTGAAGGATCTGAAGCCGTCAAACATCGTGGTGAAGAGCGACTGCACGCTGAAGATCTTGGACTTCGGGCTAGCTCGCACAGCGGGGACTACGTTCATGATGACTCCTTACGTCGTCACCAGATACTACCGAGCCCCGGAGGTAACCTTACTTTATTTTAAAAAGTTGACAATCATAAAGTTACAAAAAATTAACAACAGCGATCACCTCATTCCCAGGGGTTATTAGTATCCATAAATTATAATAACATACATATTATTATAATCATTTTTATACAATGTTTGTTTAATAAAGTTTTTAAACGTAGCGGAAGTCAGATTTTATATATTTTTAGCCCCTGCTTTCTCTAGGCAGGAACTATTAATGTGGCCTTATTTAGATTTAAGATAAAGACCGATTAATAAATAATTTTTATTTATTAATCGGTCTAAATAATAGTATATAAATAGATAAATAGTTTTTTCTTTTTTCAAAAAATATTGTAATTTTTCAGATAAACTAGACTACTCCTCAAACTGGTGTGTCTATCTGTCCGTGTTATAAATTTCTATCGAAACCTAACACTGAAATATTATAAGATTCCGAAGCGCCGTGTTAGGTGTTTACTACAGATTATATTAGCCACATTATATTTTATACGTGGTAGAGCCATGCTGCAGTTATATTAGATGTATAGTTGTAGCACGAATGGGTCGGCTCGACCGGGGAAGGACCACGCTCTCACAGAATACCAGCGTGAAGTAGCTTAATGACTGCTGTATTTCGTATGGTGAGTGTAGAGAACCGGAGACCCCTTTTACTGGAAACGAGACATTCCATCTTAGTCCTCACGGGTGACAATACATCTGCATTTTGATTCGTAATCAAGGATCGATGTAGATGTCTATGGGCCACAACAACCACTTACCATCAGGTGGATTGTGTGCTCGCTTGTCACCCTATCCTATAAAAAAGCTTACAATATGTGGTGTTATAGTTTCGTTCACATTGGTTCAGTCATTCCGAAGGTTCGCCCGGGCGGAGAGACAAACAGACCGGCAGACAAAACATTCAAATTGTTTATTCATGTCTTAAAATAGCTTTCAAATCAGTTAAAAGTTTAAAGTAACAGGAAAAATTTAAGGTAACATATATGTAGCAGATAATAACTCGGAAATATTCTAAATAAGAAGATATGCTTATTTGTGCTAAGTGCTATCACATGTTTGGCCATTCTTTACAATAAAAATATTTCGACGTCAAGTGAAGTCCACCAGACTTCGCAATCGCGCAATAATGATGATAATGATGAATTTCTATTGAGGATAAATCTCACCTGCTGATTGAGATGAAGTGCCCCTCAGCCTATAATACCACCAGTTTTTGTATACTTTTCAATTCAGAACACGTAATTTCACATCAAACCATGGCTACACTGCTAATTATAGAAATGGTTGATACTTACTCAGATTAATACCTGATAAGAAAAAGCGTACCAATTTCGTTCACGGAGACTATTTCCAAATTTTCGGAAGCTATAAAAAAAACTTCAAGACCATGTGAAGATACTGAGGCAGTATTGTGGACTCCCCACAGCTCTAAGCTGCCTAGGAATAGAGGGGGATCGTGGATTCTTGAAAAGGGCACCGATAGAATATCAGCCCTGTGCTAATTACACCGCGGCGCAATGCTGGGTCGGATGCCTCTTTGTTGTTGCATTAATGATAATGTCCGCTACCCCGCATCGTCCCGCGGGTGTCGCAAGAGGTGACAGAGGGAAAACGAAGCAGGAGATGAGCGGCAGCATCTTCATGATAAAAGCTCAAAATAATAATAAAAACTACTGTTGTCAACCCGGTGGCCAAGCATGGCAACTGTGACAAAACCCCCCATGAGGAAATCTATGAGGGTGGCTTATGTTCACTAGTGGATTAGTAATGATAATGTAATATTGTATAAATAAATATATTCATGTGGTACAATAATAATAATAATTATTATTATCATCTTTATTCAGGCAATTTACACCCATAACCACTAAAATAAATGAATTTAAATTCAATCTCCACCATTTTAGAAATAAATAAATCAATGTCAATCCAAAATAACAATTTTAAAATAATATAATCAAAATAAAATTAAAATAAAATCAAGCATCAAAAATGTATTATGTAACTTTAAATAAAGATTTTTTTTATAGAATGGGTGTGACAAACGAGCACAAATTCCACCTTATGGTAAGTGGTTGCTGTGGCCCATAGACATCTACATCTATCCTCGATTAAGAATCAAAACGCAGAAGCATTGTCACCACTGAGAACTGAAATGGAATGCCTCGATTCCAGTAAAAAAGGGTCTCTGGATCTCTACACTCACCATAAGAAACACAGCAGTACTAAGCTGCTATTTTACGCTGGTATTCTGTGAGAGCGTGGTCCTTCCCCGGTCGAGCCGACCCATTCGTGCTACAACCATAATATAGCTGCAGCGTGGCTCTACCACGTACAATGTTGATGTTTCCTTTTTCTTTCTTTCTTTATCTTTGGGAAGTATTTGGGCTGTTACTTCACTTATACTTTGTTTTGTTTTCAGGTAATATTGGGCATGGGCTACACAGAAAATGTAGATATCTGGTCCGTGGGCTGCATCATGGGCGAGATGATTCGTGGTGGCGTGCTCTTCCCCGGTACAGATCACATTGATCAGTGGAATAAAATTATAGGTAAGAGCAATCCCCTTGAATTTTATTTATACGCCTATCTCGTCAGTTTAGGATTCAGATATACTTATAAAATTTTATAAATATAAAAAAAAACTTCAACACGTTATAGGGATATTTTTAATAAGTTTGACCAAAAAAAAGTACTGGCCAATTTAAAATGATTTTAAAATATCAAATTGTTCGTCATTTATTCCAAATTGATTCAAAATTGAAATAAAAGAAAAAATGAAATGTGTTTGGCGCATTGAGCTAATATGTACTACGTACTAGAGGCGACACTGCATTCAGCTACTATGTTCCATTCAACTGCGGTGCATACACCGCACTTTAATCAGTCACTCGCTAGGCGCTTGTAGAGTTGACACGTGTTGTGTTGATTTAAAAAAAAATCTCGTGATAAAAACATGCCGTCGTGCGTACTTAGATATTGCACAAATAATTCAAGAAATGTCAGTAAAAACCAAGGAATTACTTTTCATTGGTTAATAAGATACTTAATCAATAAAAAAGTATTAAAAATTAGTAATAAAACAAATTATTCCTAAGACGCCATCTTGTGTCACGTAATATAGATTATGAAATTAATTTGTTCAGATGCGACATTTCTGTGGGTACTTAAATATAGGACGAATATATTATTATACACATTTTTGAGTTATCATAATTAGGCCAAATTTTTTATATTTAAATCTGCTAATTATTCTTATATTTTATTTTTAGGTTTCCACATCAAAGTCAAAGTGGAATAAATTCGTCAATTTTTAACTCTCGCGTGCCCAGTATTTATGAACGACTCTTATTCTAATTTAAATAAATATATTTGTAATTTAAATGTTATATTAACAAGTTTTGTTAAACATACATTTGGTATGTTTTTTTTTAAATTTGAGATAGATACCTTTAAAATGATGAGATCAAAATATCATTAAAATGTAATTGTTATATAATATTATGTAATATTATATTAAATACGCAAATATAATATACAATATAAATGAAAAAATTTAAATATTGTTCTCGATATAATTTACCAATTTAACAATACAATCTACCTACCTACGGATCATTGTACCTATGTTTATTCTATGATAAAAAAAACCGCGCGAACACAGAGTAGCGCACATTTTTTGTTTGAGATAGCTGTTCTAGTACGTAAGTACATATTACTTCAATGGTTTGGCGGTAAAAATTGAGTTGAACTAGAGGGAGCGAATTTTACTACTTTTACTTGTACTTAGGGAGATTGTTGTTTTTTTTTTCTTCTTGAAAATCTCTATTTAAACATCTTTTTGATTTAACTTTGGTTGTGATAATTTGACATTTTATTGCAATGTAACGTCGACATTTAACTGGAAAAGAGATGTTAAGAGCAGTGGAAATGATGCAGGCTGGTGCCTTTAGTGACGTTGCTGGTGAAATAGGCATCAGGCAAATGTGATTTCTTGGTTGTGGTTACGCCTACTTTCCACGGAGAGGTAGCGAAGAGACATCCAGGATCAAGCCGGATTACTACACACAGACAGACAGAAAACAACGAAATGTTACGGCGATACAATTGGTACAAAGGCTGTAAGGCTGAACACCAGGTGCTTGTGAGGGACCAAACTGTGAGGAGGTGTCTGCACGATACCAACCTTCATGCTCGTAGATTACTTTGGGTTCCAGCTCTAAGAAGAGGTAATCGTGGACAAAAACTGAATGGGACGAATATGTGAACTGGAAACCTCATCATCATGCTATTCACCGATGAATCCCGATTTGGTTTCCCGATTTAGTACATTTTGGATGGAGAATAATAAATTGAATCCGAAGCCGAGTGTTCCAGTGAGTGTAGAGAGGGTTAGTGACGCCAAACAAGTTGCCAATTTATTCAGGGAGCATTTCAGGATGCATTCTACATTGTGACCTATGAAGAGAGAGGTAGAAGATACTTGCTCGGCGACACCGGTTGTTCGAATCACTGCTGAACAGGTTGCTTAGGTTGTTAGGGACATGAAGCGAGGAAAATCCCCTGACCATGACTTACTCAGCATAGAACACTTGTAAAATGTAGGTCATGCCAATGTCATGTCAATGCCATTGGCATGACCTACATTTTATTAATTTTATTAACCGAAATGATCTCAAGCATACCGTCCAGTACTACACTGACAGAAGCACACCTGTCTTTGCCTGCTTCTTAGATCTATCTAAAGCATTTGACTTAGTTGCATATAACAGGTTGTGATAAAAGTTGTCGAGTGATCCTTCAGAGTATACAAGCGTCCTGAAGTACTGATATGACAATAAGAGCAATTTTGTGCATGCTCGGAGTCACTACCGGACGGCTACAGATTGGAGTGTGGAGTAAGGTGTAAGGCGATGCGGGCTAACATCGCCGACCCTCTCAACCATAACATCCATCGACTGCTCTTTGAGGTTAGCGGCGCTGATGTTGGGTGTTCGATTGCTGGCGTTCTTGTCAACAACATTAGTTACGACAGACGACATGGTGCTGCTGAGTCCATCGATCAGTGCCCTTCGAAAACTCATTTCGATCTGGAGCGTTATGCGGGGGCCCGTTGGCTCAGATACAACACCATCAAAAACGAGCTCATAGTGTTTAAGACGGGATCAAAAATTTATACTGTCCCACCGGTCACGCTAATTGGCGGTGTCCTAAAAAGTCTAGCAGTTCAAATATCTTTAGCCACTGGGTCACTGAGACGCTTTCGGACGATGTTGATGTGGATAGGAAGCGTAGGGCGTTGTCTGCTCGGGCCAAAATATTGGCACGTAGGTTCGCGCGCTGTACTGCAGAAGTTAAGGCAACGTTGTTCAGAGCATTCTGTAAAAAATTATACAAAATTATATCAAGTAGAAGAAAAAATCTTACGACGCCTGACGCATTCTATACAATAACGGCTTCAGGGCGCTGATGGAGCTGCCACGCTACTGTACCGCATCGGGCATGTTTACGGCTGCGAATATAGACGGATTAGCGGCGATCATTCGGAAGTGAGTCGCGTCCCTTATGCGCCGCATACGGGGCGGCTCCATCAGCTACCTGCAATTGTTCGCCTGGCGGATGAACCTAGATTGCCCTATAATGCAACATTGGATCAGGCTGCATATTAAGCACTCCGGATCTAAACTTAGGTTTACATTTAGATTTAGATTTTGTTAGAGCTGTGTATCTGTTTTTTGTTAATTTTTAATTGTTAATTGTAATAATTTGATTTAAATGAAAGTATTAATTACTTTATGTAATTAATATGAAATTGACATTCTTAGTTGATGACACAACTTAGATTTTTAATATGGCAATACAACAATAACTGACGTTAATGAAACCTGATTATTACAACATTAGAGAAACATGACCGCACCTAGCTCATAGCGCCTAGAATCATCGTAGACCAAGTCTGATCTCGATTTATTGGCGCTGCGAAGATGTTGCATCCCTATGCAATTTCTATCGCATTTGCCGAGAGTGTTCTGAAGAATTTTTCGGATTAATTCCAGCCGCCAAATTTCACCAACGCACATCGCACCAAAACTCATGTTACCTACCACATCCACCCACATCCATCTATCCACATCTATTCATCCACATCCTTCCGTCCACATCTATCCATCCACTTCCTTTCATCCCCATCTATCCATCCACATCCATCCACCCACATCCATCTATCCACATCTATTCATCCACATTCTTCCATCGAAGTCCATCCATCCACAACCATCCATCCACATCCATTCATCCACATCTATCCATCCACATCATTCCATCCACATCTATCCATCCACATCCATCCATCCACATCTATCCATCCACATCTATCCATCCACATCCTTCCCTCCACATCTATCCATCCACATCCTTCCCTCCACATCTATCCATCCACATCCTTCCCTCCACATCTATCCATCCACATCTATCCATCCACATCCTTCCATCCACATCCTTCCATCCACATCTATCCATCCACATCCATCCACATCTATCCAACCACATCCTTCCATCCACATCTTTCTATCCACATCTTTCTATCCACATCTGTCTATCTACATCTGTCTATCCACATCTATCCATCCATCCATCTATCTTGATGCTTGGCTGTCGAGCACTGCGCGATTTACTAGAAGTTTCTTACTCGCACGACTTCTTTGTGAAATCGCTTATCACTGGCAATTTTTCCAAACCTTATACTTAGGGACCTTTACGAAACTAGCTTACTCTTTTTTAAAAGGCTGACAGCGCAACTACAATTACCCTGGTGTTGCACGCTCGTACATACTAACCCACGCTCGTTTGAACCCTCTTCTATAATTGACATTGATTGAAACTTACTTGTATAAAAAGCGTGTGTGTGATGCAGAGCAACTGGGCACTCCGTCTGCGGCGTTTATGGCGCGGCTGCAGCCCACGGTGCGCAACTACGTGGAGAACAGGCCGCGCTACGCCGGCTACAGCTTCGAGCGCCTCTTCCCCGACATACTCTTCCCCAGCGACAGCAACGAGCACAACCGCCTCAAGGTATATCCTCGACCTATAGGCCGGAACGTCACTGCACGCAACCTACTTGACATGGATCCCTCTGATATCGCTGACATTGATGTTTATTTAAGAGAAGCTTAGCGGTGAAGAAAAACATTGTAAGAATTTTTAAGAAAATGATGCAACTACATTATAGTTGTAACACGAATGAATCGGCTCGACCAGCAGGATCACGCTTTCACTGAATATCAGCGTAAAATAGCAGATTAATGCTGCTGTATTTCGTATGATGAGTGTAGAACACCGGAGACCCCCTGGAAACGAGGCATTTCATCTTAGTCCTCACAGGTGCCAACGCATCTGCATTTTGATTCGTAATTGAAGATAGATGTGGATATCTATGGGCCACAGCAACCACTTACCATCAGGTGGACTGTGAACTCGCTTTTTATCTTTTATCTTATGTACTTATTATCAAATTATAATTTTTGTAATATGTTTTTATATTGTAACGCGGTTCTGTGTGGTGTCGCAGGCGTCACAGGCGCGGGACCTGCTGTCGCGCATGCTGGTCATCGACCCCGAGCGCCGCATCTCGGTGGACGAGGCGCTGCTGCACCCCTACATCAACGTCTGGTACGACGAGGGCGAGGTCAACGCGGTCAGTGCCCCCACACTCATACACTATAGTGCATTGCAAAGTGGTACTGTGTCGTGGCGCAGGCTCGCAGGCGCGGGACCTGCTGTCGCGCATGCTGGTCATCGACCCCGAGCGCCGCATCTCGGTGGACGAGGCGCTGCTGCACCCCTACATCAACGTCTGGTACGACGAGGGCGAGGTCAACGCGGTCAGTGCCCCCACACTCATACACTATAGTGCATTGCAACGTGGTACTGTGTCGTGGCGCCGGCTCGCAGGCGCGGGACCTGCTGTCGCGCATGCTGGTCATCGACCCCGAGCGCCGCATCACGGTGGACGAGGCGCTGCTGCACCCCTACATCAACGTCTGGTAAGACGAGGGCGAGGTCAACGCGGTCAGTGCCCCCACACTCATACACTATAGTGCATTGCAAAGTGGTACTGTGTCGTGGCGCAGGCTCGCAGGCGCGGGACCTGCTGTCGCGCATGCTGGTCATCGACCCCGAGCGCCGCATCTCGGTGGACGAGGCGCTGCTGCACCCCTACATCAACGTCTGGTACGACGAGGGCGAGGTCAACGCGGTCAGTGCCCCCACACTCATACACTATAGTGCATTGCAACGTGGTACTGTGTCGTTGGCGCAGGCTCGCAGGCGCGGGACCTGCTGTCGCGCATGCTGGTCATCGACCCCGAGCGCCGCATCACGGTGGACGAGGCGCTGCTGCACCCCTACATCAACGTCTGGTAAGACGAGGGCGAGGTCAACGCGGTCAGTGCCCCCACACTCATACACTATAGTGCATTGCAACGTGGTACTGTGTCGTGGCGCAGGCTCGCAGGCGCGGGACCTGCTGTCGCGCATGCTGGTCATCGACCCCGAGCGCCGCATCTCGGTGGACGAGGCGCTGCTGCACCCCTACATCAACGTCTGGTACGACGAGGGCGAGGTCAACGCGGTCAGTGCCCCCCACACTCATACACTATAGTGCATTGCAACGTGGTACTGTGTCGTGGCGCAGGCTCGCAGGCGCGGGACCTGCTGTCGCGCATGCTGGTCATCGACCCCGAGCGCCGCATCTCGGTGGACGAGGCGCTGCTGCACCCCTACATCAACGTCTGGTACGACGAGGGCGAGGTCAACGCGGTCAGTGCCCCCCACACTCATACACTATAGTGCATTGCAACGTGGTACTGTGTCGTGGCGCAGGCTCGCAGGCGCGGGACCTGCTGTCGCGCATGCTGGTCATCGACCCCGAGCGCCGCATCTCGGTGGACGAGGCGCTGCTGCACCCCTACATCAACGTCTGGTACGACGAGGGCGAGGTCAACGCGGTCAGTGCCCCCACACTCATACACTATAGTGCATTGCAACGTGGTACTGTGTCGTGGCGCAGGCTCGCAGGCGCGGGACCTGCTGTCGCGCATGCTGGTCATCGACCCCGAGCGCCGCATCTCGGTGGACGAGGCGCTGCTGCACCCCTACATCAACGTCTGGTAAGACGAGGGCGAGGTCAACGCGGTCAGTGCCCCCACACTCATACACTATAGTGCATTGCAACGTGGTACTGTGTCGTGGCGCAGGCTCGCAGGCGCGGGACCTGCTGTCGCGCATGCTGGTCATCGACCCCGAGCGCCGCATCTCGGTGGACGAGGCGCTGCTGCACCCCTACATCAACGTCTGGTACGACGAGGGCGAGGTCAACGCGGTCAGTGCCCCCCACACTCATACACTATAGTGCATTGCAACGTGGTACTGTGTCGTGGCGCAGGCTCGCAGGCGCGGGACCTGCTGTCGCGCATGCTGGTCATCGACCCCGAGCGCCGCATCTCGGTGGACGAGGCGCTGCTGCACCCCTACATCAACGTCTGGTACGACGAGGGCGAGGTCAACGCGGTCAGTACCCCCACACTCATACACTATAGTGCATTGCAAAGTGGTACTGTGTCGTGGCGCAGGCTCGCAGGCGCGGGACCTGCTGTCGCGCATGCTGGTCATCGACCCCGAGCGCCGCATCACGGTGGACGAGGCGCTGCTGCACCCCTACATCAACGTCTGGTACGACGAGGGCGAGGTCAACGCGGTCAGTGCCCCCACACTCATACACTATAGTGCATTGCAACGTGGTACTGTGTCGTGGCGCCGGCTCGCAGGCACGGGACCTGCTGTCGCGCATGCTGGTCATCGACCCCGAGCGCCGCATCACGGTGGACGAGGCGCTGCTGCACCCCTACATCAACGTCTGGTACGACGAGGGCGAGGTCAACGCGGTCAGTGCCCCCCACACTCATACACTATAGTGCATTGCAAAGTGGTACTGTGTCGTGGCGCAGGCTCGCAGGCGCGGGACCTGCTGTCGCGCATGCTGGTCATCGACCCCGAGCGCCGCATCACGGTGGACGAGGCGCTGCTGCACCCCTACATCAACGTCTGGTACGACGAGGGCGAGGTCAACGCGGTCAGTGCCCCCCACACTCATACACTATAGTGCATTGCAACGTGGTACTGTGTCGTGGCGCAGGCTCGCAGGCGCGGGACCTGCTGTCGCGCATGCTGGTCATCGACCCCGAGCGCCGCATCTCGGTGGACGAGGCGCTGCTGCACCCCTACATCAACGTCTGGTACGACGAGGGCGAGGTCAACGCGGTCAGTGCCCCCCACACTCATACACTATAGTGCATTGCAACGTGGTACTGTGTCGTGGCGCAGGCTCGCAGGCGCGGGACCTGCTGTCGCGCATGCTGGTCATCGACCCCGAGCGCCGCATCACGGTGGACGAGGCGCTGCTGCACCCCTACATCAACGTCTGGTACGACGAGGGCGAGGTCAACGCGGTCAGTGCCCCCCACACTCATACACTATAGTGCATTGCAACGTGGTACTGTGTCGTGGCGCAGGCTCGCAGACGCGGGACCTGCTGTCGCGCATGCTGGTCATCGACCCCGAGCGCCGCATCTCGGTGGACGAGGCGCTGCTGCACCCGTACATCAACGTCTGGTACGACGAGGGCGAGGTCAACGCGGTCAGTGCCCCCCACACTCATACACTATAGTGCATTGCAAAGTGGTACTGTGTCGTGGCGCAGGCTCGCAGGCGCGAGACCTGCTGTCGCGCATGCTGGTCATCGACCCCGAGCGCCGCATCTCGGTGGACGAGGCGCTGCTGCACCCCTACATCAACGTCTGGTACGACGAGGGCGAGGTCAACGCGGTCAGTGCCCCCACACTCATACACTATAGTGCATTGCAACGTGGTACTGTGTCGTGGCGCAGGCTCGCAGGCACGGGACCTGCTGTCGCGCATGCTGGTCATCGACCCCGAGCGCCGCATCTCGGTGGACGAGGCGCTGCTGCACCCCTACATCAACGTCTGGTACGACGAGGGCGAGGTCAACGCGGTCAGTGCCCCCACACTCATACACTATAGTGCATTGCAACGTGGTACTGTGTCGTGGCGCCGGCTCGCAGGCACGGGACCTGCTGTCGCGCATGCTGGTCATCGACCCCGAGCGCCGCATCACGGTGGACGAGGCGCTGCTGCACCCCTACATCAACGTCTGGTACGACGAGGGCGAGGTCAACGCGGTCAGTGCCCCCCACACTCATACACTATAGTGCATTGCAACGTGGTACTGTGTCGTGGCGCAGGCTCGCAGACGCGGGACCTGCTGTCGCGCATGCTGGTCATCGACCCCGAGCGCCGCATCTCGGTGGACGAGGCGCTGCTGCACCCCTACATCAACGTCTGGTACGACGAGGGCGAGGTCAACGCGGTCAGTGCCCCCACACTCATACACTATAGTGCATTGCAAAGTGGTACTGTGTCGTGGCGCAGGCTCGCAGGCGCGAGACCTGCTGTCGCGCATGCTGGTCATCGACCCCGAGCGCCGCATCTCGGTGCACGAGGCGCTGCTGCACCCCTACATCAACGTCTGGTACGACGAGGGCGAGGTCAACGCGGTCAGTGCCCCCACACTCATACACTATAGTGCATTGAAACGTGGTACTGTGTCGTGGCGCAGGCTCGCAGACGCGGGACCTGCTGTCGCGCATGCTGGTCATCGACCCCGAGCGCCGCATCTCGGTGGACGAGGCGCTGCTGCACCCCTACATCAACGTCTGGTACGACGAGGGCGAGGTCAACGCGGTCAGTGCCCCCACACTCATACACTATAGTGCATTGCAACGTGGTACTGTGTCGTGGCGCAGGCTCGCAGGCACGGGACCTGCTGTCGCGCATGCTGGTCATTGATCCCTAATGCTAACATCAGATAACATTTTTAAGAGTATAGGATGATCAACATGATCAAACTCTTTATTGAAATTTTGTCGGTTCCAATACTGGTTTTCGTGTTATGTACCATTAAATATGTTTTGCGATCAAACTTAATTTATAAATTAAACGGCTATGATCTGAGTTATGGTTGACATAATAATATGTGGTGCGTGTCGTTGTAGCCGGCGCCCGCGTCATACGACCACTCAGTGGACGAGCGCGAGCACACAGTGGAGCAGTGGAAGCAGCTCATCTACCAGGAGGTGGTGGAGTACGCGGCCCCGCCCCCCACCCCCCGCGCACCCGCCGCCGCCCGACCACACGCAGCCCGCGCTCACCACATAGGTACCGCACACACACATGTGCACACATATACACACACACATGTACTCACATCTACCAGGAGGTGGTGGAGTACGCGTATAGGCTTCAAGCGATGCCACAATGCACAGTCCTGAACCACTTGTATCAATCAACTTTCTGCATCCCATACCAACAGACAGTAGTCCACTTACTTTTTTGACATCGTAATGTTAGAACAGAATAGAACCATTTCTATTAAATATAAATTACAATAATACTTATTAAAAGTCTTTTAATCTTTACTTTTACGGTTATTGTCAATCATGAACTCTTTAGTATTATAATAAATAACCTTTATTAAAAAACTTATACTTAATAAAAAGTTTAAACAATTTTCTTTTTTCGACTGATTGCCATTTTATAGTGCATTATGTCGTTTGTTTTACGAGCAGTGATAGCATAGGACGCACATAGTACTAGGTAACTATCGTTTTGACAAAGTTGGCGAATGGGGCTGGTCTTTACTCACCGGTATGAGGCTGCCACTTGAAAACCTTTTTTTCTCCCTATCGGTTTTAAGTTCTTCGGCGTTAAATGTCTGACCTGTTTGGCTACTTCTACTCTAGTTCTACTGCAGATTCTCATTTCGTATTCTATATTCCAGAACAACTCCCCGCAAAGTCCTCTCCATAAAATACAAGCACATAGCATACTATTTACACTTAACAGTTTTACTACCACTGTTAATTTAACTAAAGCTAGAGTTGTACAACTTACAGTCAAAATATTATGCTATATGCATAGTATATATGGAATACCATAGAATACTATAATACATACATAATAGAATAGGGGAGTAGGCGGAGCCCGTGTAGCCACTAAAATGTAACTAACATGTCAATTTACACGTATAAATGTCAACACGAGATATGTTTTGACGTTACAATCGTTTCCAAATTTCGCATGCAAATTATTTAGAAAATACCAAATTGGACACGACCGTAAATATGTATTATAATTTAAACGATTTTTTTTAATGATGATTTTGAACATTAATCAAAAATTCTAAAATGTGTAAATTTACTCAATCTGTCAAAACATTAGGTTTGTAGTAGTTATAATACGACGTAATTGCTTTTATGAGTGCCCCCGGCGACGCCAAATCTCGTACAAAATAAGTTTGACAGCCATTCTATTGTGTATTATAGTATTCTATATACTATGCAATGTGTCAGTCTATTGTGCAATTCTGTATTACAGTGTGTGCACACCCCGTGCTGCAAAAAATCCACATGTTACAAATATAGAGATCTGAAATATCCCTGCTTAAGGTCCTGCTTAAAAAACAAGTACGATTTCTCCACCAGAGAGGTATTTACTTCTCTCGTGTGCTGTCTCTTCGCCAATTATATAAAAGAAGTAAACAATTTATTTAAAAAAAGTTTATACGTTCTGTACGTGGTGGAGCCATGCTGCAGTTAAATTGGTAGTATAGTTGTACCACGAATGGACCGGCTCGACCGGGGAAGGACCACGCTCTCACAGAATACCAGCGTATAATAGTAGCTTAATGCTGCTGTGATTCGTATGGTGAGTGTAGAGAACCGGAGACCCTTTTTACTGGAAACGAGGCATTCCACCTTAGTCCTCACGGGTGACAACGCATCTGCGTAATCGAGGATAGATGTGGATGTCTATGGGCTGCAGCAACCGCTTACCATCTGGTGAACTGTGTGCTAGTTTATCACCCTATCCTATATAAAAAAATCTTTTACGTGTCACCTACCGTTACTGTTTAGTTTTCTCCATCCGCACACTTACAAACACAATATCAAGATACTATAACATCAGAAACCTCAGTACGTATTATGTCTATTAACTCATTAGAAATGGAGATTAAATTATTATGAAGAAACAGATAATCTAGTCAAACGCCAATGAAAACTTTTTCTCTATTACGCGCACGCACGCAGTCACGTACGCATACTCGCATGTACACATTCACGCACATTCACATTCAAGTTTTTTTAGCATTACAGCCTATCAAAAGTCCACTACTGAACTCGTAGATTGCTTCATATGGATATCGGTTGTAGACGCCGCAGTCAATTTATTTATTTAGTCGTTGTAAGAAATTCGCTTCTTACGACACCCAAGGGATAATATGGGGCAGTGAATATTCTTAAACCCGTCATTACAAGGTAAAAAGTATGTGTGAAATTTTTAGTGACGGGTTTGAATGATTTGACGGCTCCGGCTTAGCAATGAGTAACGACGCTAAGGGCCGCGCGTTCGAATCCCGTACGGCACAAGTATTTGTATGGCCTGCAAGTAATTGTTCCGGTTCTGGATGTTTATCCTTGAGCAATTTATATATGTAAACTACCTCCACGATACTAGAGAAAATCCTTGTGTGGGAGTAACGTTCAACATAATTGAGCGTGTAATTGTGTACACTCGTACGAAGTGAAACATCTTAATGACATATATTCTTCTCTGATTTTATTACTCATGCAGCCCCTGCAGTGAAATGTTACAAGAATACGTGATTTTTTTTAAAACATTCTTAGATTGTGTACAAAAATGATTGTATATCTTTTTTTAACATTGTTTAGCCCACTGATGTATATACTGTTGTATTTATTTCTTGAATGTATGTGTTTATTTAATTTTAGGTTTCAACCGAACTGACCGCCGAGATTTAATCGACGGACGCTTCGCCGAGTGTCGGATTCGAGGAACGCACGCGTGTGACTTGTGTACAGAGAGTGTCCGATACGGAACGGTCGTTTAGCCAGTGTAAAGAAAACGTAGCGTATGCAGCTGAAACGATTCGTACCCTCACCCTCCCCTCCCCATCGATCTGTCGAGGACTACCATCTCGTCCGAAGTAGTCACTTCCCGTTTTTAATACATTAGGTTAAGTATTCGTTATGTTGGATTGACGCTACCCGGGTTTTTATTTGACGCTCAACGGTGTAACATTGATCCCTTCGCAGCCATCTTATTTGCAACATGGAGTGCCTTTTGCGTGTCGCAACAGCTTACGGACTGAATTTCGTATGTTTAAAGTTTTTTATAGTGTACGCGTATCATAGGAAACACAGTTCACGCAATATTTTCTACCTGTGGAGTAACGTCAGCACGTTATATCATGGCCGGACTGAAGTTAGTTGCGAGTGGCTGCGCAGATATAACTTTTAAGAACAAAATGGTGACAGAAGCGTGGAAGGCGGGCGCCAACTCAAACTAAAAATGTGAACATGCGTGCGGTTATAATTACGTAAATAATCTAATATCGTTATTATCGATACATAGTGATTCGATTTTATGATTCATTGGTGTGTAAATGCAACATGCCGTTTCAAACACAGTAATTACGATGATGTGCATTAAAGATTTTATTTATAAATTAAAAAATATATTAATTTGGGGTTACTGGAAGATTTAAATCGTATCGTATCGAAGATCCCGTATTTACTATATATTCAAACTGTTTATGTTAATTCTTTATTAGATAGTATTTTTTTCATTGAAATACCTAAAACATTTTCATTATAATAATTTTTAATTTATTCTATAATATCGATTATAGACAAAACAAACTGTTTCTCTAAGCAATCTTAGGAGCGAATGTGAAGTGGCCCATCTCTATGGGCTAGCGCCTGTACATGTGCGATCGTCTCGGGGAGCCAACTTCAGCCCGGCCAAGATAGAACACGCGAACCGTAATTTTAATTTATTTTAATTAATTAATGTGAAACACTGTACGGTTTGTTATTGTAGGTGTACGATTTAAGGTAAGTACCTACAATGCTATTCAAATAAGAATAGGAACGTCAATAACCTCGAATGAACGCGGTCTGTCATCAGTCCCTTGAAAAGTACGGCTTGCAAAGAAAATTAAATAGCGTATTAATAACGTTTTTTTCGCTTTGTTTCATTGAGTGTTAGTATAATCAAATTTATTGAACTCATATTTATTTTTATAAATTAATTTAAAATATTGATACTAGTCGATGAAATATTTTAAATACCTACATAAATCCATGTTCTATTTATATTAGGGAAAGCAGCAATGATAATAATGATGACAATGATGATTACTCACACACTGATGCAGAGATGAGCGAAATTGAAATGCTAGATTCAGATTAATGCTTTTTCATTCATGGTTCTTTTATGAATAAATAAAATTTCAAAATTATCTGTTTTGCCCACCCTACCTAGCTTTGCATCGACAGATATGACGTCACAATCAATATGGCGCAAGGTCACTCCTATTCTTATTTGAATCGCATAGTATGTTGTTATGTTATGTTATTATTAAACGTGCAATCATTTAGTTTTTACGTTTTCGAATGTATGATATGTAAATGTGTAATAGTGCAAATGTCCGGTGTTTTGTTGAATGCAGTTCAGCTAATAAATTGAATCTGATAATTTTCAAATGTCACTTTAGTTGAATTTCGCATCTGTAGGTTTATCACGAATGGTTTTTGTTGTTAAAATTAGTTATTTAAACAGGCGACTGTGTCCTGACATTGTTTTTTAGCCACAACACTGTCGGAAGTTAATTTGGGATATTGTGATGTCTGTCGTAAGTAGTGAATAGTTAAGTTGTTGATGATATTGTATTGACTGTATGAGAGTAGATATATAAGTACATTTCTAAAGTAGTTCCCGTAGGTTGCCTCGCACCTAACATACGGCCTGGTATCGTGACAGAAGAAATTTTTTACATGACTTCAACTCGGTAGCAAAAATAAATAAATCAATTTTTATTTTGAATTTTATTAAAAAAAATATAGTATTGGATTTTTCTCCTGTATTGTTACGAAGAAGAAGAATGTCCTGAAAAATTATTTGTAGGTTATTCGATTTCCGTGCGAGAGTTGAGTGGATGACCTAGTTTTTAACTTTGTGCCTTTTTCGTGGCCATTTTTTTCGTGTTTGTTATTACCATTAACTAATAAGTAAATAAAAAGTTTTTGATACACATTCTTTGAAAATTCATTCTAAATCTACTGTCACGTACAACTGCCTTACGTTGATGGTGCGAGGGTAGTCGTAGGTTACTGTTTGAAACCTCACTAGGTGATATTATTGTAATGTAAGTGTAAAGGCGGACAGTCCATTCGGGTGGTACCACAAGCAGCACAACATTAGTTAGAGCGAGCCGGAGCATACGTTCGAAAGCAATAAATCATTCTGTCTCTCTCTTTCCCTATCTCTTGAGCGGTGATGCCACCTCCCCTTCACGTTGACCGTTCTGCAGTAGTGGGCTTAGCTGGGATTACATTGTGGAGGGAGGAGAATAATGATCACTTCAATTACTTTTTTTTAGTAATATCTTACAACTAGACCTGAACAGTTTTAGGAGACTATACAATACATATTTGTTCTCATTTATATATAAATAAGAATATCAAAGAGGGTACAGTCCCCCTGATGGTAAATGAATACTGTGGCCCATAGACACAACATTCGTCGATAAATCAAAATGCAGGTTGCCACCCCTGAGTAGTAACGCTAGTAAAAGGCGTCTCTGGTTACAGTCATTGTATTTATTTTAAACAGGATTTTTTAGAGAAGTTACCTCTGGAAAACATTAATTATTACGATACGAGCCATCAAAACCTCCGATCGTAGTAAAATTTCTATATCGAACTAATGTTTTCTATCGAAAATCAGTTGTTTTATAATATTGACTATTTATTTAAGTGTTTAAAAACATATGTGTTAAAATTTCACCGACTTTCTCCCTCCTACTCCGGCTACTCCCATAGTAATAGTTAATAGTGTTACTTGACTTTTGTTCCATTGCGTAGATTCGATTTTGAATTTTCCCAATTTAACGTAGCGTACTAAATAATATTGAACTGTAGAGACAAGCCCATTGTGCATGTGTTTTCTATCGTATAAAATTCGAATCATATTCAATGACGATACGAAAACGTTAGTGTGGAATACTTGCGCTAAGGGCACAGTAGAGCCTACGTCTTTACGTAAAGGGAAATTAATTACAAAGCTTTCAAGAGTATACAATAGTTAAAGAAAGAATATTTTAAAATAAGTCTTAGGTATCTGTAAATATTATAAATAGGCTTAATGGAACGAAAGTGAAGATACATTGTCTGTAGGGCACACTGTTTAACACTATAGTAAATATATACATATATATATAAATGAAATTCACAACTGTACGTCCAAATTGTCCATTGATATGTTAATGTACCTAATACAAATTACAATAATGTAATCATTAGAACGTATTTTAGCTGAATGGTTCGCGAGAGGCGAAGCAGCGACGGGCGGCTTGTAGACATAAAGATAAGGAGTTACTTGACGACTATCTAAAAAAACTTATTTTTACTGTACTCTTAAGTTATTTCATATTTTAACTGAATAAATCGAAATGGTTATTAAACATGTTTTTTATTTGTTTCGTTGTTGTTGAATAAATTTAATTCTAATTGTATTTTTTTTGCGAATTTATCAAAAACTAATCGGTGTAATTTTAATAATGACTTCATGTTAAGATGAGAATCGCTTATCGGTTTGAATATAATAAAATTTATAGCATTCAAACGAATGAGAACTAATGCAAGTCGTGTTGACAACCGGTCATCAATTACATAGTTTAAATAATATGGAGTACGTGAGGGTAATATGGTCATCTGGTTAATATGGTAACTTTCTTGTAACTCAAAAACTACAGCCTTGTGTACATAGATGGCTTTGTGATGCGATAGCTCTTTATCGGTCAATTGAATAATAAAGGGTAAAAAGGCCGGTGTAGTGTAGTTAGTTTTTTAAAGTAGAAGTTATTTTTTTTTTCGAAGTGTACATAATTATTTCCAAGGCTTGTTTGCTATATTTTTTCTTAATTTATTAGTTATAGTATACGACTTGGAGTTTTTGTCTATGTCCTATTCCTAGTTTTGATTTTATAGGGAGGCAAAGCTTAAGGTGACCATATTACCCTCGCGTACCTTATGTATTCAAACGGATGAGATTTACTGCATCTTGTGTTGATAACCGCTCATCAGTTTAAACACTATAAAAATTTATGATATGCAAACGCATGAGATTTACTGCATGTTGTGTTAACAACCGCTTATAAATTTGAACACTATAAAAGTTATAGTATTCAAACGGATGATATTTACGGCGTGTTGCATTGACTCATCAGTTTATACGTCATTTGTTACTGCAGCTATCAAAACAACGTGAAGTAGTTATTTAATTTGATATAATGGCATAAATGATTAATTGAGTGAAAGAAGCTATGTAAGTAGTATCATTGGTCTTTATATTTTAGTACCATCATAATCGATGTCCATATACACCATTAGTAAAATATCTATAGTCAACCAAATCTAAGAAATACCTTTTGACGTTTCACATTAATCATTCCGCAATAACTTTGCATAAGCTATTGCGGTACTCACATTATTTAAAATAACATTTTACGCAAATCCGAAGAATTATGAAGTTATCTATATTTCATTACAACGTGTATAGGTTTTTATCTTAAAAAATAACCAGTATTAACTTTTTTACTTGACGTCATTTCAATGATATGTCGCTATGTACATTACCGTAGTGTTTTAAAATTCATTTTTATGCGAATAATCGGCAAAAATATTCAAATAATTGGTAAAAATATTTAAATAATCGAGTCATTAATTTTTTAATGTATTATTTGTTTAATTTAATTTTTTCTTTTAAAATTCCTTAAATTACATGAATCATGAATAAAACAAGTTTTTTTTTTAATTTGTCAACGTA